AAGGAAAAAAAAAAGTGAGAGAGAGAGAAAAAACATCCAATGGAATATTTGTAACAAAAAATTATATTTATTGTATGTATGATAAATAATTCATAGAAATTAACAAAGTGTTAAGTAATAGACTAATAGATATAGTTGAAGCCAATTATTTATCCATGAAAATTAAAATGCAAGTTTCCAATGCATAATTAAGAATAACATTTAAATGTTTATCTGTAACAAACAATTTTTCATATTGTTTTAATGTATATTCACAACATACTTTAAATACCAATTACTACATGAACTTTATCTTTATAGATGTGCAATTACAATTTACTAACATTTATAATGTGACAAATTATTCCTTCTTATTTTTTAAGAATACTAGGCAATTGCCCAAGATTGCAATCAATATATAAGGATTAAAGTTAATTAAACTACAATAAATATTCAGCCAATATCTAAAATAATGTAAAGTAAATTATCCTACAATTAATACAATAATTAATGCAAGTTTGATCCAAGATTGCAATCAATATATAAGGATTAAAGTTAACTAATACGTACCCCATGCGATGCACGGAAGAGAGATATTAAATGAATTATTTTCATAGGCTCTTTCCGTTTAAGTCTGAGAAGGGTTATCATTCATTTTCCACCTCTTTTAATCACCGTAAGTCTGAAAAAGGTTATCATCTATTTTCCACCTCTTTTAATCACCGTTAAGTTTAAACAAATAGGGTTGTAATATATTTTTCACATCTTTTAATTAGCGTTGTTTTATTAGTCAGAACGTTAAACGTGGGCATGTTAGGGCTAATTTGTAAAATAATTAATATATTATCTCACTAACACATATATACTAATATAAATTTAATTTTATTATATATATTTATTCCTTGATATAAGAGAAAATAACAAATTTACTTATTCTTGTTCACTATATAATAGTTAATTATTATTTTACTATAAACTCTGTTGCCATATAATGTCATTATTATTTATAAAGTTATGGAAGTTTCACATCTTCTTGTTCTTTTTACTTTATGTAATGAAATATATTTAATGCACGTTAGTACTATTTATATAAGTAATCAATTTAAAATAGATAAATAAATTTAAAATTAAATAATGTATAAATAATGTACAAAATATACACATATATTTTTTTAGAATTTAATTTTGTATACTAATTAAACAACTTTGATTTAAGAAAAGCCATGAACTCAATCTCTTCTAATATCAATATTTTTCTAATTTGCATTATATTGATTATTCTTATTATATATATAGATTTGAATTTTTGCGACACCAACCAAACTAAATATCACAACAACCAAGTAACAATTATGAAAAACCCATAACACAACACCTATCAATTAAATTTGGTAATAGAAAAATTACATACATATATATAAATATGAGGATTCTATATTTCTATTAACTGATGTATACAACACGTGTATATTTTGTTAAGATATATTGGAATGTTCAATTTCATAGCATGATAACAATCAGTCAAAAATCGAAAATCTTATTGAAATGCCATATTTTTCTATTAAAAAAAAAGTTTCCAAACAAAATAATTATATCATAGCAAATTCATTGTGTAATTGAACAAATTTCTATAATGAAACCCGATTTTATATAAAAAAAATAAAGTAACAACTTCTACATTTTAAGAAAATCAATTAATATTGGTCCGTTTTTGCTAAGAAAATAATAAATAAATAAATTGTAATTAATGGAAAGTAATTAATGATGAGAGAATTTGACCATATAGTTAACATGCCATTTTTTAAAAATGGTAATTCTTATTATATATATATAAATAAATAAATCAGTTAAATAAAATATTAATACCGAAATAGTAATGACATTTAATGCAGTTGACTTTTCTGTATACTAAATGTAGTAAATAGGATCTCTTTTATATAAGTATAGATTAAATTACAATAAATGTTCAGACAATATCTAAAATAATGTGAAATTAAATTATCTTACAATTAATACGATAATTAATGCAAGTTTGAGCGAAAATTTTACAGCTACTCTGCTTTAATATAAATATAAATATATGTAGATGTGGCCGAAGCATTCATTGCTACGTTACGTAGACTGAACGATGAAAAGATAAAGTGGTTAGCGCGTCCAATGGGCCATAATATTGGGCCGTAAAGTCAATAGCCCACAAGTCCAACCCACTGTCTTAGGGCTTTGATATATATTAAAAGGGTGACCCATCAAAACCTTTTCGAAGAGCTGAATCTAGGGTTTTTGCGCCTTCTCATCGTCAGACTCGGCTCAAATGGTATGCTCGTCTTCTATCTCTTCCCAGCACGCACCAATTCTCGCAAATTTGTGTTCTTTTAGCACTCATATCTCTGTGTTTTGTATTTCCCAGCGTAAAATTGTTTGCTTTTTATTCAATTATTATGGATCGTGTTTGATTGATTGTGTAGATTTCAGATTTTTTCGTATTATTTTGCTGAAAAGCGTTGCAATCCGGCGGTTTTGTGTGTTTATGTTGTTGGTATCATAATTTATGGAGCTTCATTGGGTATCTTGATTACTGTAGGGATAAAAATCGTGCATTTTTTTTTTTTTGTTTATTTGAAGAAATGGTTCTATGTTCGATGTTGCCATATGTATATTCATCGTGATAGTCAGGTTAATCTGGACTTGCCGTCTATTGTGGCTTTTTAGAGCACTCATTTTCTACGCTTGGATTTGATAAATTGGATCCCCATGTTTGCGGATAAAACTATTGAGATATTCTCTTGCTGTAAACTTTAGCAGCTTGTGATTTTACTATGGACAATGATTTTCGTGTTCCTCACTAAAATGTTTGCAGGCCAAGAGGACCAAGAAGGTTGGCATTGTTGGAAAATATGGTAATAATATAATCTCTCATATTTATATTTGTTGTAATTATAAATTTTGTCCTGCATGGCCCTTTTTATCTGATTGCGAATTCTTTTGTGTGTGATTTTTCTTGATGTGATATGCTTCGAATCTTGTTTCAGGTACTCGTTATGGTGCCAGTTTGAGGAAGCAGATCAAGAAGATGGAAGTTAGCCAGCACAGCAAGTACTTCTGCGAGTTTTGTGGGAAGGTAAGGGTTATTTCAAACCTTGAAGTGAATTTCTTAAGTGGTTTACTCAGTACTCCTAGGGCTTAGTAAATTTCCTCTGTACACTAAAGTTGTATGCTTCCATTACAGTACGCCGTGAAGAGGAAAGCTGTCGGGATCTGGGGATGCAAGGACTGTGGCAAAGTGAAAGCTGGCGGTGCCTATACCTTGAAGTATTGATTTTTTCAGTCACACTAAACTCTTTAATGCTATTCTTGTTTTTACTTGAATTATAACACGTTCTTTTCTTTTTTTTCAGCACTGCTAGTGCCGTGACTGTTCGAAGCACCATCAGGAGGTTAAGAGAGCAGACCGAGAATTAGATTTAGAGAAGACTTGTCAGATTTATTGTCGTTTTTTTGAAGTTTTTTCATTTAATTTTAAACTGAAGCAGAACATTCATTAGACTTGAAAGCTTGTGATCCTGTGTGACCGTCTTGTGTTTGTATTTCACTGCATTTTGTTAATGAGAAGTTATCAGTTATTTAACAAGTCTATTATGGTTAGAATAAGCCAAAGCTGGTCTCAGTGGATGGTTGTTTTGTTATCTAATGCTGGAATCAGCATTGGCTGTATTAATAAGTTCTATTGTTGGAAGAATGAACAGAGTTAAGCAGGTTGCAGCCCCCCATTAAACTATAACATCTTAAATATTCTCAAAAGGTGATAGATTTCATATTAATGTGCTTCATGCAAGGTTGTGCTAGCCAATTCATTTATTCAATGGTAACCATAACTGTTGTTAAGCAACTATAACAAGACAAATCAAGGAAAAGATGCATCCAATACAAACCTGAATGCAGACTGTTTATATTTTATAGCAACAATCTAAATTCTAAACAGAAGGGTCACAAATCAAAGAATTTAAGCAATGATAGTATGATCCTCAAATTTGTAAAAACACTTGCAGTCAGAATTAATGGAAAAATATGTAATCGAGTCATTGCAGCTGAAAACTGCATGTAAATCCACTCCACCTGATCTGGATAAGCTGCTTCATATGAAAATACATTACTCATTAAGTATGCACATACAGACTACACAGAAAAAATAGCACAAGCATTTATCATGCTGAAAACAGAGTCAGCTTTTACATAAAATGGCAAATTCGCCAAACAAATAAGCTAGAAATTCTTCTTCATCAATTCAAGCAATGTTCATATATTGAATAGCAGCTCAATGACTTTTATCTGTCTCGTTTATTGAGACCCATTTGATTGAAGAGAACTTGTGAGCTCAATAAACAAAATGGGTAAAAAAACTCGTCAGTCAAGGTTTGTGGAGCTTGAAGCCGAAAACTCTGGGAACATAGCTTTGAGTCGGTTTTTGAGGCTTGAGGTGTCCATAAGTCATCAAGAACAAGTGAGGGAAGGTGGTCCCGAAGTATGCTCCATCGATGTCTTTGTCAGTTAAGAAAATCATCTAAAGGAGGTAAAATACTATACATAACAAAAAGGCAATCTCAACTAATGGAGAATCTCGACAAATTGTCTTTTTAAAGGAAACATAATTGAGTCAGTTAAGAAAATCATCTAAAGAAGGTAAAAATATTATAGGTAACAAAAAGTCTATCTCAACTAATGGGATAGGGACAAATTGCCTTTAAAGGAAACATAAAGCTTCTTACGTAATAAGATTATAAAGCTTAGTGGTCAAGTTTTCAATGGACAGAACTATAGCAAATCATAAATGCACATCGAAATTGGTGACATCTAAACAGTGATTTGCCTGGGCAAGTTCCTCACTCTCAATAGATGTTACGAGACAACAATAAACGGTGTGTATGAACATATCCCTCAAAAGTGGCACGAAAGTTGATAAAATTAACAATTCACATAAGGTTGCAAACATGACTATTGTGTTACAACTAAAAAACAACTTAAACTTTTATGCAGCTTCAAACACACAACAGAAAATTGACTCAGCAGGAAATTATCAAGAGCTACGACTTAATCCAAAATTTAATATACTGATGAGTTAATTTAACTTCCATCAATCAGACATGTTAAGAGTGGTCAAAGACAAAAAGAGTAAACGATGCATCATATGACTACAGTGAACAAAACAAAAAAAATCGAAATCAGAATGCAAGGATACTGCCTTGGTACTTGGAACGAGGATAGTAAATGTCGTCACACTTGGGACAGTATATTTTTACGGTACTTGAGCGCGGGATGTCAGACTGTCCAACAGGAAGGCAAGGCTGACCACAGCAGTAAACTCTCGGACATCTTCCGAAATCATAGTTTTTGTACTTCTCTAACTGGTTTTATGTTTGGCAACCAAGTTAAAATGTGACAACTATATAAATATATGAGGCAGCCAATGGCAAAGCTTGAATTAAAAACATTAGTGATTTTACCATTGCAGCCAGCCCCTTGGTAGTCAAAATGTACCGAACATGAATAAGGCCATAGAGCATTTCAGCAGCTGATTCAACTAATTCATTCTGTTCCTCAGTAAACATATCACCTATATATGTATTGCAGGTATGAGTAACCCAAAGGGAAAAGCAGCATGATAACCAAAGAATAAGGCAATTTAATCATCAGAAAAGGAGAGCGTGTGGATACTCAAGAGAATCACAACAATTCCAAAGATGACAAGACCAGAATACAACATTAATAGTCATATGGAATCAATACATTATTCAACTGAACAAATATGAACAAATAAAAGCCTGATAAAATTCAAATGACAGACAGTATCCAGCAAAATAAGGATGATAAACTATCATGCTTTACTTTGAATCCAAATTTCAGTTGAATATCTGAGCACAAACATATTTCTTCAGACAGACAGCAGGACATTTCATGGACGTAGGACTGAATTACTTATTAAACACTTGTCTATAATTGTTATGAACTAAAATGAAATGATCCTTAAAGTACAAAAAATAATTGTTGTATGAGCATCAATACAGCCTTCTACATTTACCTAAAACTAGATTTAAGACATTCGAATCTCCACAACTCAGCTGTAAACTATAATATTTTCAGAGATTGGTGGACATGCTTTACACGGTTAATCGTTCAATTGAACTTTTTAGCAGAATTGAAAGATTCTCAAGTGGAAACAGAATAAGTGAAGGCTGATAGCATATGCTCATTACTAATGGCCAACATTGAAATTATTCGACTGTATATGGATTTTGACTCAATAGACTCTCAGTCATAAAAAGATAATACAATTTGATGATTACTGACATACCATCTACTGGTTTTAGGTTTACATATATAATTAGAATAACCAGAAATCTTACAGGACTAGCAACCTATGGAGTGGAACTTTTGTCAAGTAGGATACAAGAAGGTTACCATGAGAGGACTCGACATCCAGAATTAGATCAAGTGCATAATCGTAATAAGGAACTTGACTGCTCAACCCACAGAGATTAAAATCATCTTGGATATAATCATCGTCAACTTCACAGAAGAATTCATTTCCTCGCAAGTTGCAAAACCATGAAATCCAGGATGTATCCTCCCCATCAGAACCACTGACATCAGACTCTTCACTGTCTGTTTCAGATTCATCTGCAAAATGGCATAAAATATGCATCTTAAAATTTATTTAGTTAGGATTCATCTGCACAGATTCATGCAAAGAAAGAAAGAAAGAATAAAAGAATGAAGAAAAACAGAAGGTGCATCTTTTGACTTTGCTTTCAGATACACCTGCAGAATGGCATCAAGTAGACTCGACATTGGTTAAATTAATTGAAATCTGAACAGTGAAAATAGAAAGGGAATAGATAAGCATAAAATCATAAACAGGTATATTCATGTATGATTTTATCAAATAATGGATAGCATCTTGTATATATGTATGCATGAATGTATACTTGTGCGCAAGTGCATGTATTTGTATTTGTGTAATCGGTGCGAGCATAAACTAAATAATTACTTGCGTAAAAAGCCAACAAACATGATTGGACCTAATTTTAAACCGCAGCATGAGAGCAAGCTATCCAAATAAAAGGGCAAATTACACCTTTTTAATGTTTACGTCACCAGCGAGAAGTCCAAAAGTGTTCGGGACAAAGCCGAACAGTGCCATAAATAGCTCATAATTTATGGAGCATCTGTGAGTTAATGCCAAAAAAAAAAAAAGAAAGAAAGAAAACCGACCAAAAATAAAGAACACCTTTTTCGGAACAAACTGTAACGTGCATCTTTTAGCACCTTTAACTACTAGGCTTGGGATGCTTTATAGTTTGATTCAACATATCTGAGACACTAAATCAATCTGACACTTCCAAATAGAATAACTTATTAGAGGTAGCAATTTCAACAGTCTAAAGGTCGCAAGTTTTAGCTTGACCTGGAGCCACCACTTTTTAAATGTAACAAGGTTACCAATTCATCAAAATCATCTAAATGACTACATAAACTTTCACCATTAAAATAGCGGTTTATATCTCACAATGGCATTTCTCCAATTCAGAATCCTCTAGTTAATAGTTTCAATAAGCTCCACCAGAATCATAAAACCAAAACAAAGGTGCAACCTTAATAACAAACTGCTACTTCAACACCATGACAAACTCCATATTAAAAAAATCTGGCTTAGTATATCAACAGCTAAGATCTTTCAGGCAAGATGCACCATTTTCTCTCATAGTCACACGACTGCAGAAAGAAGCATGCTTAATAGCGCATAAATGTTCTCAATCGCCACTGACACAAATCAATATTCAGATGCCCAAAACCACAAGGCGGCCACGAAANGGATTAGTTAATAATCCAAACAGCAAACATTTTCAGTCAATAAAACATAACATTCATAAATTGCAGACTTATCAGCTGAAATCACAGATTCACAAAACAACAGAAACGAGTCAAGGTTTCGAGAAAACAAAAAAAAGAAGAAGATGAAGATACGAACACGGAACACTCCGCGAACAAAAACAGAAACAACCCACCCTCGGATTTGTTCTTGCTGGCAGGCAAATTCGACGACGAGCGATTGTTCCGATAATCAATCTGCTTCCCGGCGGCGGTGGAGGTGGAAGGTACGGCGCCGGCGGAGCCCTTGTTCCTGGAGGTAGAAGGGGAAGACTTCTCCAAATGCTTGTCCAAGGCGTCGTTGATTCGCTTCCGATCCAGCATCTCTCCACCCTTGGACGAGCCGCCTCCTCGATCTCTGTACATGTTCACCGCAAGATCAAGGAAAGAGAAGACCAAAACCCGCTAGCACCACACTCTGTAGTTACATATGCGGGTTTTGAAAATTTCGAACAGAGAAAGATCGATTGGATATGGTGGAAAATGGATAGATTTGTACAGTGTGTTTGTATGATGAAACCGAGACGAAAGAAGCTAGGGTTTCTTTTCTATAGTGGGGGAAATGGGATGGGGAGTGCTGACGTGGTGATATATTTTTTTTTTCAGTTTTAATTTTCACTTTTTTTTTTCATTTCATTTATTTTGAGTGAAAGGTTTTCTTTCATTTGCTTTGATTTATTAGATAAAAAAGACTAAGATTAAAATAAAATGACAGAGTGAAAATTTGAGTTTGATTTTGATTTTGGAACTGAATATAAGTTAAGTTGTAACGATTAAATATGATGTGATGAAAAAATAATAAAATAATAATTGGTAGCCAAAATATGTGAATGGATAGATATTAAATTTTATTGTAAAATGTATACTATGAATTTATGTTTGGTTGCTATTCTTTATTTATATTAATAAAATCAATATGAGTTAAATTGAATTAAATTTGATGTTAATTTTAAGTTACAAATTTTGTATCCAATTATCGTTCTTGAAAACTCCAAAGATTTCAATTGATGTGTCAACCGACACCACTAGAACCAGAACAAAGCCTGAATCAACTCCCCTTAAAATCATACCGGTGACCAAGGGAGTACAAACTCTATAAAGGACATACAAACACCTGCAAAATAAAAAAATTCATAAAGGTGGACTAAAACCAGACGCAGCTGGACAAAAAAAAAATCACACACTTAATAAACAAATATAATAAGACCTCCCATAAACCTAGTGACAGACAACACTACTACCCAAACCAACACACAAGTCACGTACACCTCGCTTAATGGCTTGTTATGGTTAATTTAAAAAAAAAATAGTGATGTAATTAGTATTTAGCGGATTTTGGAATGGTATTTTATGGTTTGTACTTATTTCACATAAATATTCTCTCGAGGATTCAGTTTGTAGAAAAAGAGATGTAAAAGAAGGAAAATTGATCCTCAAGTTTTATATTTTAGGCTAACTTAAAAGAGATCTCCATTAATTTAGTAAAAGCTGAGAGCCACTTTCATTATATCATTTATTAATTTATTAATTTTGTAAAGAGTAGATTTAAGAGAGAACAAGCAGTTCAAGACTATCCAGGGACGGATGCACACTAGGCCTGGGCTGGGCTGAAGCCCAGGCCTTTTAATTTTTTTTTACTACTACTAAGTTTGATTTTTCTTTGTTTTTTTATTCCTAGCCCAGCCCAACAAAAATAAATAAAGAACTAAGTTTGATGATAGCCCAGCCCACACTTAAGGCTCTGCTCGTTATCAATTATCACCTCATCCTCACAAGTCATAACAATTAAAACCTAAAAAAAATTGTTCTCTTTTTCGCTTCTTCCCTCCCGCCCTGACTCCCTCTCAAGTCTCCATTGTTGGACTTATAATTTCTACAGCGGACTGCGTTCACCTTCACTCACCGACCACCGAAGTCGGCTATCCGATTCAGAAGGTACCAAAAAATAAAAATGTCTTTACTTCACAAATCCTAGATGGCTAGATTGTGCATTGTGAAGGGAGAAAAATAGCTTATGAGGTTAAACTTGTGAGACATCTATTATTGAGTGCTTGTTCTAGAAAGGAAAAGAGAACTTTGAAGCCTAATTGCTTGAGCCCAGAAACATTCATAAGATCAGTCTGCGATTTTTAATTTTTTTATTTTATTTTTTTTTTTCTGGATTTTGAGCAATTAGGTGTGTTGAGATTTAGCATTTGCTTCAAATTTTTAGTACGGAATGTACAAGATCAAATTAATTTACACTCGTGTGGCTGTATAATTCACTTGCACTGATTTAGTCAATTAATTCATTAAATGTTTACATAACGTAAGAAACCTAAGAAAAATAGTTTTGAATTCGTATGTTGAGAATCAGTGCCAACTTTTATAATAATTTATGATGATTGGATTGAAAATTGAAAAAAAAATAAGGCTAATATCAAAATTATGAATGTTAGAGTTTTAAAATTGTAAATCACTTGCTATTTAATATTATGTATGACTGGGTTAATATTTGAATTAATATTATTATTTTGTAAAATTATTTTTTCTTTGGTTGGGTCAATATTTGAATTAAATGTACATTTTTGTCCTAATATGTTTAGCAATATCATTTGTAGGCAAATATATTTTTCCATATATTTTTCAACGATATGGTGTCTACTTCATTTTTGAACGGTTGATCATGAGTATAGAATGTTGAAATGGTTAGTTCAAAAATTTATGTGATTTTTATGAAAATGAGTATCTAAAATTCTAGCCTAGTCTATTCTTAATTTCTGGATCTGTCCCTGGGACTATCCAAAGGGGCATGCATTATTTCGACAGAGCAGGTAGGTAAAAAATCCAAGCAATAAAAATAAAAATAAAAAATGTGGGGCTTATTTTATCCCTATTAAACTTAAATATATGCCTAAGCAAAGGCAGTCAGTTAACTTTTTTGGTAATTTAAGTTGTTATTTTCAGGGAGAAGAGCTATAGAGGTGCAATGGCCAGGTTGTTTTTCTTCATTTTATTTGTCTAGAGCTAGAACTGGGCTTGGCCTTATATTTATTGGCCTCTTGGCAGCCCATTAGGCCTTGTAAATCTCAGTCATGTCTAGTTTGTCCTATCGACCTTGATAGGCTTTAATTAAGCCATCTGGCCCGTTCTATGCCGAAATGGTCCAGGTCTGTTCCATACATAAAACTGATGCCCAAACTTGAAACTTTTTTTCCTTTGGTAGTTTTAAGATTAAATATTTTGTAAAATGGATAAAAAAATATTAAAAAAATAGCAAGGAAATTATTTTGCAGAATGTGAAAGGCTGTGTTTGTCTGTTTGATGCCGCCATAAAGATTGTTTTGGGGACTCCAAAGCTCAAAACAGAAAAGGAGTTACTATTAAGCATAAGTCTTCCATATTAATACATTATCTCGGTTCTCACATTATACATATATGTGTCTTCAACGACCCGAGTTCGATAAAGCTTGTTAAGGCTCAAAAAAAAAATTTTTATATAATTTTTTTATAATTCGGCTTGTAAGCTCGAGATCGGCTCGAACTCGACTCGCTACTAGTAATAAATGAGTTGAGTTCGAGCTCGATTTCAGACTCGTTTATTTAACGAGCCAAACTCCATCTCGAACTCGATCACCCTAAGCTCGAAATTGGCTCGCTCATACACATGCCTAACTTCTAGAAACCCAAATCTACACAAACCAAATACTTAATAAAAATCTAAAAAACCCACTTTTACCGTAGCTTTCTTTTTT